GCTACTTAGGCAAGATTTTGAAGACATCAATACCTGAGGATTCATGCAAGATATCAAATTTTGAAGTAACTTTTCAGTTTCCACTCACGAGAATGCCATAGATTAAAAGTCAAGATTCCAAAAACTGAAAATTCTTAGCCAAAAACTGGATACAAAAAACCACTGTGTGTGAAGTTTTCTAACAAAGCCTATATGTAATCTAGAGTAACAGAAAAATTGTGGTAACGTTTATATAACTTTGCAAGTCAAGTGAGGTTCCCGAAACGATGTATTTTGGTACTGCCTATAATTTCCAGTACTGTTTGTACACGTATGCACTTATCGTCGATTGCCAAGACGACAAATATACAGAAACAGTGCACAAAACACGGTGAAAGAGATGGAAGCTACCCAGGCAGTCAGGGGCATACGGGAAACCAAGAATGGGAAAATACTTATATTAACCGATAAAAATAGGGAAGCACTAAAGGAACTACGAGAAAAAATAGAACAGACCAACGAGATGGCAGCTAAGACAGCCACTGGGCTCTCTCAAAAAGAGGATAGGAGAAAGGAAATCTTCTATATCAGAGGCATGGACGACACAACCTCCAAGAAAGAACTGACTGAGACCATACTAACACTTTCAGGCCCTCTCGGAGATAATGAGCTGAATATAAGTGAGCTGAGGCCAAATGCAGGCAGGACCCAGGCAGCCAACTTTTACGTTGTTCAAAATAAGGCAGACGCAATAAGAAATCTCGCAACCATAAGAATCGGATACACAAGATGTAGTATTGAGAAAAAGATATACCTCCAGAAATGTTATAGATGTTGGTCATAATATGACCATACCACTGGAGACTGTAACGGCCCTGACCGAAGAATTCTATGCTTTAAATGCGGCAAAGAAGGACATCAAGCAAAGGAATGCAAAGATAATGACGAAATATGCTTACTGTGCAACGAAGAGGCACACAAATCCGGCACTGGTAAATGCAAGGCATTTAGAAAAGAACTAGGTATCCATAAACCGCAAATACCAAAGAATGAACTCTAGAAATCAAGGAGAGCAGGAGAATTTAACTACATATGGGCCTCCGCCACAATAAAATACCCAATATTACAAGTGAACTTGAATAGATGCCGGGCTACGCATGGTCTGCTGTTGGCAACTGTAAAAGAAATGAAAGTGGATATTCTGGCTGTATCAGAACCGAACAACAAAGAACTAGGCAACCATAGGTGGCTATACGATAATAATAAAGATGCAGCAATCAAAGTAACAAACGCGAAGATCCCACGCCGCGGAAGTGGGGCTGGAAACGGCTACACCCTGGATGGAGACGACAAATTTCGTTCTCTGCAGCTGCTATATAGCACCGAGCAGACCGATAGAAGCTTTTCAAGATATTCTGGAAAATATGGCCACAAGTATGAATAATTATAAAAAAGATATAGTCACGACAACAGGAGACTTTAATGCTTTGGAATGGGGAATGAAAAGAAATAACCAGGAAGGAGAGATCACGTGTGACTGGATTGCCACACATAATCTAACCCTGACAAACAAGGGTAGGTTCTGTACTACCTTCCTCAGGGGCAACGCAAGCTCCATCATAACTTAAGTAAAGTAAAATAGGGACACAAACGATAAACTGGAAAGTGCTTGATATGGAGACGCTTAGCGACCATAGATATATCTTTTTTTTTAAGAAAATACACCGAACATAGAGCTCCCGTCTACTGGTGGACTCAAGAAATAGGAGAACTGAGTAAAAATTGCCTGGCCAGAAGAAAATTAACAAGAAAAAACATACTACAACCAGCGGATAAAACCCTAGACGCAGAAGGAAAAGAAAGGAACTAAGATTAGCCATTGATAAATCTAAGAGAAGCTGCTGGAAAAAAGTATGCGACGTAATTGGCAGCAACCCATGGGGGGAGGGACATAGAATTGCCAAGAGAAAACTCAAACTCAGAACGCACAGACAGGCGCTTACAATGACAAACGTAACACAGGTGGAAAAGAACTATTCCCTACACGAGACCTGATCACCTGGAACGAAGTAGACGTGAACGAGGATCTGATACCTGAAGTAACTGCCATACGAATAAAACTAGAAATGTTCTGCCAAGCCTTCAACAACATCATGCGAAGTGGAAATTTCCCAGAAAAGTGGAAGATAGCGAAGGACCCGAACGAGGAAACAAAATATAGATCCCTCTGTCTGCTTAACACCCGCAGCAAACTCCTCCAAAACCTCATACGAAGCAGACTAAATGAAGACCTGAAACTGAAACAGACCCTTTCAGACAGACAATTTGGCTTCAGACCAGAGAGGTCGACAAGGGATGCTGTAAAGAAGGTCACAGAAATTTTAAGAAACGGGATACAGGGAAAGGGTCAGACACAGGAAAATCGGAGCATCGATAACGCTTGATGTAAAAAATGCTTTCAATACGGCACCGTGGAGAGAAATAGTGGCAGAACTGGAACTTCGGGGGGTGGCACCATACTTGAAAAAAATTATAATGAGCTATCTTTCAAGTAGAAAAATCTTGCTAGAGACGGAGGAACAAACTAAGGAATTAAAGTTCGCCTTACGAGTCTAGCACTATGGAAAGAATGTGGATAAAAAAATTACAATATTGCCTATTTGACTTCCAATAGAAAATACCTTAATATTTATCTATGTTACGCACCTACATTTATAAGGAAAAAGTAATATTTAAAAACGCAGCGCCCACGCCTATGACAGGTAGCATAAAGCTCGAAATGAATGACGTTATTTTTCTTTGCCCTTCAGACGTCGTAGTGCTAGACTCGTAAGGCGAACTATAAATATGACATGTGGAGTCCCACAGGGCCTACCCTCCCTATGGAACATTCTGTATGATGGCCTACTCGTACTCAGACTTGAACAACCGGAAGGAGTAAAATTGGTTGGCTATGTTGGATAATGTTGCTATGGTCATATTGGGCAGAAACATAGAAGAAATACAGCTGAAGACCGATATTGCGATGATGGACATTAAGGAGTGGCTTAGAGCCACTGTTGCCAGGTCAAAAAAATTAAATTTTTTTAACAATTATAGCTCTTAATAAGGGCTTTACAATGGTACTCAGTTGAAGTTGCTGGCATTTACGGTTTTTGAGAAAATCGAATTTGAAGTTTTTAGCTAAATTTCAATTAAAATCCAACTTTGAGGCTCAATTGCTCTAAAAGTATTTGAGTTATCAAACTCAATCTAGCAATGATTTATAGAGAATTTGATGCTCTTTCCAACCATATATAATTTATTTTGATTTGCTCAAAATTTAATAGAAGTATTGGCAATTGTTCCTAACTTTGTCAGGATTCAAAAAAAATTTAAACCTAAAAATTGAGATTTTCTTTTTAATTTTTCTCTGTGTTGAAATTAAGATTTTGTAATTATGTTAGAGTTTTTTTCGACTAATTTAGACCCGCTCTATCGATTGGAAAAGTCAAAATTCAATAAATATGAACAATAAAAATTTCGAATTTTTCAAAGGGATTTATATTTCAAAATATTTGAATTTGGATATCTTAAAATCTATTAAAGATTTTGGATTAAAATTTTCAGGAAATATAACTCTTGATAAGGACTTTAAAATGGTATTTAGTTAAAATCGCTAGCTCTTATGGTTTTTGAGAAAATCGAGTTTGAAATTTTTGATAAAATTTGGACTAAAAGTTAACTTTGAGATCCAATTGTCCAAAAAGTATTCGAGCTATCAGAACCAATTTAGCATGGATTTATAGAGAATTTAATGCTCTTTCCAACCATATATAATTTGTTTTGATCTGTTTAAATTTCTTTGAAGATATTGGCCATTATTCCTAACCTTGTCAAGATTTGAAAAAATTTCCAGAACAAAAATTCAGATTTCTTAGCTTTTTGAAATCGCCATTTTGAAAGTGATGTTAGAATTTTTTTTCGACTAATTTAAACCCGCTGAATCAATTGGAAAAGTCAAAATTTCGAAAATATGAAAAATAAAAATTTCGACTTTTCCATTGGTTTGACTGAAACCCCCTATAAGCAACGCCACTGGCCAAACAAAATACATGTTGCCAACTTTCAAAATCACCAGAAATTGCAATTTTTCAAAAAGTTTTTCACCAATCACCAGATTTTTCATAAAATCACCAAATCTGGTGAAATTGCACCAGACCTGGCATCACTGCTTAGAGCAAACCAACTGCTTGCGATCCTAAAGGGGTGCCCCCTCAAGGATACTCTAAAAATTCTAGGTAAGGAAATCACACCAAAACTTGCAATCAAATATCTGGGTGTATGGATCGAAACGAGAGTATGGTTTTCGGAACACGGTAGCTAGGGTAAGCCAAATATGCCAAACATAGGAGGCCAAAAGCAAGTACCTTAACGCAAAATGCTGGCGTTGGTGGCCAAGTCGGTCTGCTTCTACATGGGCAGAAGCAATGCTAATAAAAAAAAAAAATAGGAAAGCCTACCAGCGGGTACAAAGGCAATGTCGAAATTTTCACAAAAACCATTTTAGCAATTATAGCGAGTCAAGTGAGGTTCCGCAAACAATGTATTCTGGTACTGCCTATAATTTCCAGTACTGTTTGTTTGTGCCCCCAAAACCATAATAATTAAAGACTAAGTCAAGATTCAGAATTCCATAGACTCAAAACTCTCAGCATAAAACTAGATATTCACATACTAATTAGACGAGATCAAAGATTTCATAATCCGGAAACTCTGGTGACTGATTACTGGTATGTAGGTTATTCAGCATTCAAGACGGTACTGCAATACTTCAAACAGTCAGTAGATTTCAAGATTCTGATGATTTGTGAACTATAACTGAAGACACAATACCATATTGAAGACAAGAAGTCAAGACTCCAAAGACTCTCAGCATAAAACAACATATTAATCATAAAGCTCTGGAGACTGATAGTTACGGTTACTATGAAGACTCAGAGACATACAAGACTGAAAACTCTGAAGAATGAACATTTTGTACCTAATTCATTATTATTTACAACTTATTAAATTCTAGAGCACGTAAAAAAATAAATTCAATACAAAACCTTATTAAATATACGCAAAATCAAAATGCATTTACTCTATAGTAATGAGCACGTAGATACTTTACATTGTTGTATTTATTAATTTTACCTTCTAACACAATGATCCTGAACAAATCAGCTACCATATATAATTCGTAGTCATGAAAAATATTTTGTACAAGTTGTCCAAAATGGCTCGAGCAGTATTATTTGTCACTTGCGTCTATTTCCTAAGCCTTGCTCTAGTTCCATGCCTCCATGCTGCTCCTTTTGGTTTCGATTTGGTAAGGAAATATGTATAAAGTTTTCATAATTTCAAATTATTTTTACAGTTTGGTGGTTCAATTTGCGACTTAGTCGATTGCTGTGAAGATAGCGATGAAAGCGACGAAGAAGCTGAGAATGGTAAGACTATAGGTACATTATTTATTTAAGGTTTTTTATTTTTAAAATTTCTTCTAGATGTTATCAAACCACCAATGGATATGGAACCTAAACCTCCTGTGGTCACAACAACAGCAGCAACAATAGATGCCTCCGAGCCAGAAGAGTAATTTTTTTTTTTTAACACTCTGTATAATTTTTATCCATTAACACCTACTTACATGTCTTTTATCCATTAAGAGCTTTGGATATATTATTTTTACGGGAAATATGATACTTCTATTGTCCAGCTTTTTTTTCTAAAGAAAATATTTTCTATATAACACCATATTATTGGCCAATATTGTTTTATTCCTCTCTAAAGCTTTAATAAAAATGCTTATATTCAGCAGGGTAAGTTTCATTTTAGTTGAAACCCAATTTATTGCTAAAGCCTTTTAATTCCAGATAAATAATTTATTAATAATTATAGCAATTTTAATTAAATTCGAAATTATTTGCTCTGTAAGCTGGGACGAAAATCAGATTTCCAATAATCTGGACGATTACGATGGAGTACAAAAAAACGACTGTCCAGATGAATTTTGCAAAAAAGAATTGGAAGAAGTATTTTCTAATGCAAAACAGGAATACGTTAGTGAATAATGAACTAATCAATTTTGTTTTCTAGAAAGTAATTTTTAGAACTTTAAGAATAAACGTACTCAAATACTACCATTCTATGAGACATTGGATAGGTCTCCATGTCAATGCGAAATGACTTATAGAGTTATGGATTTGGGAAGAGCTGTATATCCAAGGTAAAATCTTTTAATTGTGTCCATATATTTTATCAAAAACCATTCTAGGTATGTTCATTCTGGTTTGTGCAAGAAAAATTCATGCGGAGTAATTCACAGGTGCAAACCAAAAAAATACAAAATTGGAATTTTGAAGAAAAGAGATTCTGGTGACGTTGACGTGCCTCAAGATCATTTGCCCGAATCCTTGGCAGAAAATTGGATTGCTGATCACGTTAATATTGTCGTTGGATGTGAGTGTGTTCCTGTGAAAATTTAAAAAAATTATTTATTGAAATTACTGGAAATACAATAAAAAGTTCCTTAACCGTAAATAGGTTTTTTATGTAGAAGAGCCTTGCCTTAGAGAAATGGTTCTTTGATTGATGTTTTGTAATAATCTATTATTGAATTCTACACGTTCATTACGTTTTGAATGAATATTGGTGAGTGTTCCAAGCTACAACAAGTAATTTATTAAGTTATGTTTCAAATTAAAATATGTTACTTACCTCTTCACTGGTTATACTTGATGTATGTCTGAAAACAATCCAGTTAATATTTTCAGTACAATTCGGTGTGGTTAAAGAACCAGTGTATTGAAAAAACGTTTCAGAATCTTCAGGCAAAAAGTCAAAAACGTTTAATGATTTGAATGTGGCAAATGGTTTACCAGGTGCGACTGAAACTTCTTCTATAGCTTTATTGATTATTTGGAAGTGATTGTGTGTGATGTTATATGATTCCTAGACAATGAAAATATTTTGTCAGCGTAAGTTCAAGCTTCTCGAATATATTTGAAATCGCCAGGTTCGATACGGAATATTTTTACTTACTTCATATAAAGTGGCAAGTACTGTTACAGCAAATGGAACTGCTATGGCATCTTTAAGAGTACTGAATTTTTCGGATATGAATATCAAATGGCTTTCAAGTGGGTATCTAAAAATAATTTCAATGAATTTTTCTAAATTTTAACCCAAATTAGCTTACCGTTTTCCATTTATAACGTGTTCAGAGGGCCAATGGAAATGAAGATTCCTCAAAGTAAATTTGCATGTCAAGCCACCGCCAGATAATTGGGGTTTCGGATTCTCAAAATCCATTACAACTGAAACAATTTTCAATCAAATTGCGCAACTAATTTATCATTCAACTTACCCGTATGTCCATTGTTGGTTATTTGAAAATTTTCAACGCTACCATTTTGAAAAACTAAAGCGTCCGATTGATATGGATAAGATGATCTATCGCAAAGGGGTATTGGGGATTGGGATTTTCCAGTTTTGCATGATCCAGGCCATTTGTCTAAGGAGGAAGTTTTAAAAATTGTTCCAGGATTTTGGTTTAGCTTTACCTTGTTCATGGTAACTCCATTTTGAATCCTTTGCTAAGTTCAACTCATGTACGACTACATAAAATCCGAAAAAACAATGTTTTAACAATATTCGTAAAGTGTATTTTCTTCGCAGAATTTAATAAGGATATTTTCTTTGAAGAAAAAGAGACAATAAAAGCGCTGCTGAAGTGTTATAAATCTACTGAGCATAACTTTTTGTTAAATATTTATCTGCCAAATGTGTCAGTTCACGATAGGCACACCCTGTATATCTTATAGGTACTTACCCAAAACAGAAAAACTAACAATAATAAGTACAAGAACGCAGAAAATAGATCCAAACAATAAAACTTTATTGTGAAAAATGTTTCTTCTAGTTGTAATCATAGTCTTCCAATATATCAAAAATATAATTTTTCATAAATAGGCGATTGTGCTGTGTGTGCTAAAAACTAATTAAACTAAACATTCGAGGCCTGCCGATATTCATAATTTTGTTCCAAAATTTGATATCAATTTCGTTTAATCCCCGGCATTAATATTTTGTATTTATTTTGTTAGAACGCGATGCTGATGCTTAAATGGGATTATGTGGATTTGGATGCTGTCTGTGATTTGACTGATTGATGGAAAAAATTGATTTGTTATCGATTGATTATGCAATTGCAATTTCTATTTTATCAGTCAATAAACCTTTATTTGGTCTAGTGATTCCCTCATGTCTTCTTTGATGATTTTCTGGTCATATTCCTTAAAAGCTCTCAATTTGATAGAAATCAGCCAAACCTCTCGAACCTTGCAAAAAAAAAACAGAACTCTGAAAAATTAGAACTACCTACAGGAAAAAAATAAAGAAATATTTGCTGGGTTATCTGCTCTAGGAGCCCTAGGTGGAGGTGCTGCTGGTATAGCAAAAGCGTTAATGTCTTTAATATTTTTCAAACCTTGTTCCAATCGAAATATGGTCAAATTCGTTGAAAGCTCTCAATTTGATAGAAATTAGCCCAACCTTTCAAATCTTGAAAAAAAAAAATAGAACTCTGCAAAATAAGAACTACAGGAAAAAATAAAGAAATATTTTCTGGATTATCTGCTCTAGGAGCCCTAGGTGGAGGTGCTGCTAGTACAGCAAAAGCGTTAATATCTGTTGAATATTTTTGAAACCTTGTTCTAATCGAAATACGGTCAAATTTACCGAAAACTCGCTCAAATAAATCAAAATCAACATTAGTAAGAGGTTTCAATTAGTCCTTTGAAGATAATCGACGTACCTACCTACTTCGCCATTTAGAGTCGAAATTTTGAGCAAAAAATTGAAATTTTGAATTTAAACTTGAAGTGCTGATACACTAATATTAAAGTAGAAATTTCGACAAAAAATTTTCAGCATTCTCAGTGGGTAAAAAAAAAATTGAGTTTTACCAGAAAGAAAGGAGAATTTCCAATATGAAGTTTGTTGTATTCTTGAAAAACATCAACAAGAATCATTCAGTGGTATTATCTATTCACAATCTGTATTCCAAAGGTATAGGGAAAATTTATCATCTTTCAATGCTATTCGATAGGTAATGGTGATAAATTTAGCTGTACTTTTGGACTACAGATTGTGAATCGGATATAGAAACGAACCTATATAATGAAATCATGATCAAAGAAAAATCCATCATTGGGTGCAGTTAGGTATATTTTTTTTTTCCAACTTCTGATGATTGGTTTTCCAGAGATGAAGTGTATGATGAATTGAGAGAAATGTCTCAAAATAAAAAACGAATTTCGAAAGATATTCTTTCCCATCTAATTTTGTTTTATTGAAATCCTGTATGAAACTCCAACAATAAAGGTTACTGAACCTATAAACTTTGAAACCAAAATGGAAAAATTTGACTTTAACAGGCAAGCAATTTAGAGTTGATAGAAACTTCGAAAATTACTTAAGATTCTATCCCTTGTAATAAGAAACAATTACCTAGAGATGATCGCATTAGATATAATCAACATTAATTAAAAAACGCGTTAAGAAAATTAACAGCTAATAATACAAACCATAATGCGTAATTAAAATCTAATTTACGATTAGATGCTTGTCTGAATGTTGATTCGATTTTCACACTGATCAGAATAAAATAGCAACGAACATCATCTAAATCAACTTTTGTTGGCTTGCGGTCTATGATATGAATATTAAAATATAATACAATGTATTTAATTATTTTGTTTCCAAATATGAATCTCAAATTTAGCTGGAGTTAGACTTTAAGTAAGCTTTAAGACATTTCTCAAGTCTAAGATAAAAAAAAATACTCACAGTTGAGAAATTAGAACATATAAAGAGAACAAAATGATTAACAGGCATCAAATATAAGACAAAAATGATGTGAGGATGTTTTAGAAAAACGATTTTAAGAATTGAGAGGCAGACGAGAAAAATGTTGGAAGGAATCGGAGAAGCGTAGAGATGGAAGAAAAGAAGTTTTGAGAAGAAGGAGAATGGAAAACAGAAAAACTTTAATAAACCCTGAAAGATTAAAGATAAAATTTCTTTGAGAAATTAGGTTTTTAACAGACTTTGGAAGATCTGAGGAAAAAGTATCTACTGAGAAATTAAACGGTGATAGATAGACAGAAATGCTTCAGAATTATTAACACACGTGGAAAAATGAAACACAATAAATGATTCAAAGACGAAAAGAAAATAAAGACCTTTTAATAAAGGCTTTCAAATGAATGGAAAAATTGGAAGATCAAACAGGAAAGCTTCAAGGCTTTTTTATGAATGTAAAACCAAAAGTGATTGATACAAATTTCAATATGAGAATATTTAGTTATTTCTAAAAATGTAAATTTTTCCTAGAAGAGAATCAACAAATCCTCTTTAATATTTCAAACGCATCGAATTCAAATTCTTCAACTTGCGTCAAGATTGTCTTCAAACACTTCCAAAGAACTATAGGAATATTTTCATCTGGAATGATCTTTTGATTTTATTTTATTTTAGTTTTGTTGTTCATAGGAGCATACCATTAACATATCATTTGGGTATAAATGGCAACAAAAACTGCCTGATAGCAATACTAAACCGCCAATAAGAAAAATCGATAGTAAGTCGTTACTGATTGGAATCATAGATGCGATAACTGATACCTGATTATTATTTGAAATGAGATGTTTTCTTTGTATAGACATTGCTTGAATAAGTGTTGTTGTCAATATACTTATATATTGAATATAGCCTGATTCAAATGAGAAGTCTTTACTTAAATAATAGCTCGTTTAGTTGATCAGCAAGGAGCAACCTTATTTTTGAGAAAGATTTAGGGTTGATAATTTTGTGAATGAACTCAGAAGACGTTTATATTGGATTGCAATATTTAACTTCTCTAGTGTCCAAATAAGCGATTTTCAATTCACTCAAAAACTATCTTTAAATTTTTTGAGCAACCTCTCAATATCAGTAGGAAGAAAACTAAAACAGACAAAGATTTCGTAAAACTGAGAAACATAATTATTTTGTTTCAGCAAGTGCGGCTGATTGTTCATATTTTGCCTCCACACCTATCTCACCTGTTTGAAGAGATACCCAGAAATGTCAAATGTGAAAGTTGTAGGTAATATCAGAAAGTTTTCAGTGATGTTAGTTACAAGTTTACAGGGTTTGCCACAAAAGTGTGTTGAAGCAAAGTAATATTTTTTTAAATGGAAAACCCCGTATATTGTTGTCCCATTAGATTAGCCTTCCAAACCTGATTCCAAATATACTAGGTTTTTCTTCATAGTCCAGCCTCTGAATAAACCATTTTGAAGAAATAATAGGTGGGTTCGGCTTGCTCACTCCGTGCACTCCGAGTGACTCCATTCGCACTCCAGCCGTTCGGGTATTGCTTTTTACCGTATTAAGGGTGACTCCATTAGCTCTGTTCACTCCACTCCAACTCCGCGCTGAATAGCCGAACCCAGCTTATATAGATTTTTTACATGAATGATTAGCTTTATATTTTGCTGGTGGTCTCATACTTCACTTTTTTCAATAAAAATGCAATTATTTTATCCCTTTTTGTCCTATTTTTTCCTGGACTATTAGGAATAAACCTAAAAAACCTAGTATATTTGGAATAATTTTTAAAAGATTAATCCAATGGGAGAATAATATAGGGGGTTTTCCATTTAAAAAAGTATAACTATGTTTCGCCACACTTTTGTGACACTCCCTGTATACTTGTAACTAAAATCATTGAAAACTTTCTGATATTACTTACAACTTTCACATTTGACATTTCTGGGTATCTCTTCAAACATCAAATGAGATACGTGTAGGTGCAAAATATAGACAATCACCTGGTACAGCAAGGATTTGGACCATGAAAATATCTTTATTTTAAACCATGTATGTACTTAATTTTCACATTTCTCACTGATTTGAAGATTCGAAAATGTCACTTCACTTTTGTTTACTTTGCAGCAGGCCGAAAGTGATAGTTCTCCTGTCACTTTCGGCCTGGAAAACTCACTTTCGGCCTGCTAAATTGTTCTTTCACATCTAAACACAAATCCAGGTGCAATGTTTGTATTTAGAAGTAGATGTCACATGTGTTTATATTGTTGAAAATTCATAAGATGTCATTGTCGGTGTCAGATGTATTGTGGGTATCAGAGTGTCAGTCGAAATTCCATTTATGTCATATTTTTACTTTATTGTTTTTTTCAATAATTAATGGTTAAAAATAAAATAGTATACATATTTCGGTGGAAAGTTTTCACATATATTGTTTCGAGATTTGGTTGACCTCGGAGCTGCGCACCTCAGTCAACCATAGTATCTCTCGACAATAATGAAACACTTTCCACCGCCGCATGTAATATACTACTTCTAATGTCAGATTGACAATTCTGAGATTGTTAGAAAGATTTTTTCAGGTAATGACCAACGTGAATACAGGGACACAACGGTCCCTGTTTGGGAATCGACCCACTGAGCAGTGGGCCCAGTCTTCCCGTGCCAATCCTTGATGCGTTTCGTCCTTATTGGGACTCATCAGAAGGACATAGGCTGAAGCTCCCTGTCCAAGCAAAATTGAACTTCGTTGACCAGTCAGAAACAACTACTCCAAGGGCAAATACACCTACCGGCGTTGAACTACACTAATTTGTCTGAGCTTTCGTTGGCAATGAAAATTGTTAGAAAGATTTTTTTAGGTAATGACCAACGTGAATGAATACAGGGACACAACGGTCCCTGTTTGGGAATCGACCCACTGAGCAGTGGGTCCAGTCTTCCCGTGCCAATCCTTGACGCGTTTCGTCCTTGTTAGGACTCATCAGAAGGACATAGGGACCGTTGTGTCCCTGTATTCACGTTAGTCATTACCTGAAAAAATATTTCTAACAATTTTCATTGCCAACTAAAGCTCAGACAAATCAGTGTAGTTCAACACCGGTAGGGGTATTTGCCCTCGGAGTAGTTGTTTCTGACTGGTCAACGAAGTTCAATTCTGAGATTATTCAGCACATTTCCTCCTGCAATTTTTGTCATTCACAGTTTTCTTCTACCTGATTTCCTTATTGACACTGATACAATAAAATATTAAAATTAACCGCAGTTTCTCCACAACTTTTCCATCTCCCAGCTAACGAAAGTCTAAAGTAGGTATTTTTTTTCATTTACCTACTTCACAAGATTCTACCTGTTCCTTCTTCTTTTTTCTAGGATAGATTATCTATTATCAAAGTTTATTATTTTTCCATTATCTCTCTTTAGAGTATTAACTCTCACTAGGTCTGTCGAGATTAGTTTGTAAAAATCATTATTTGACTCTGGTCAATTTGCTCAGTTATCATTTTAATCTTATCTCAATAGGCGACATGTGCACTCAAAACATAAATTTTAGGTCTGCAATATGGTACAAATCAGAAGCCTATCTATCTTCAGTTGTCAGTAACATAAATTTTACAGTTGCTCAAGCTCTTCATATTGGTCATAAATTGATGTTAAAATTTTACTTTCTTTTGACCAATAGCAAAATTAGGAGTTTGCTTTCAAAAATAACTAATAAATTCAACAAAATAATATTTGAAATATATTTCCAGTCATGACACCGATTTGAAACTCTTTCATAAAGTAAAATGCTTTTGGCTACAAAAAAGACATGAGTTTGTTTACCCATGATTACCTACCTTACAAAAAAAACTCAATAAATCGACTTCTTTCTTGTCGAATAACCCATTCTAGCTCCAAAATCCTACAATCATTCATAAACGTTCATGATATTGACCTTAAAAAAAATCAAAACCGTCCAGAGCCTCATGCAGATTTGCCATTGGTGCGTCTTTAGTGGGCGTAAACGTAGCCTAATGTCCACTCTGTGCAAAAAAAAAATAAAAATTGGCAGCAGCAGGGATGAATCAGGTATTTATCCACTTTACTCCTTAGGGCGCACTGCCAATTGTTAAGTTAGAGTGATTCGAACCGTGCTAGAGTTCAGTAGTTTTACAACTACATACTATATTTGCCAATTAGGTTTTTGTTCAGCGTATCTAGAATGGTTCTTGCTCTATTTGTGGTGCTTCTGGTGTCAGGTTAGTGATAATATATATTGAATTGGATTAATCAAAGAACTTTTTTTTATATAGAATTTTTTTTTATAATGCTTCTGGATCACTATTATGTAGGTATTTCATAAATTTGTTTTTTTTTTTTGAAAATTCTTAACTTAAAAAATAATCTTCATTCTCATTGATTCAGAATAACTGACTAATTAGATAGCTGTCACACCTAAATACAATATGCATGAGTTTATTTTTCTGGTGGTTCCCTAAACTTAATTTGCTCTATACATTAATATGGCCTATAAAGACCTTGAACTCTATTGTAGTCAAATATCCTTATTAAAACATTTAAATTTAGGACCCTAAATTAATTAAAAAATAACCTGTTGAGTGTATTTCGTAAATGAGCCTCACTGACGAAATTTGAACTCACATCCTCAAATCAAAACTTAATATATTTTTCTCTAGTCTTCTTTTTTTCAGATAATTTATTTTTGAAATACAGTATAATAAATAAATGAAAATATTATTTCTAAATTATGTCATTTGAAGTAGAGAAATGTTTATCGATGTTCGTAGGTACCTATCGATACAATATTTTTTCAAAGTTTCATCTTTCTACATTTCTTCTCTAGTTATTTCTCAGTTTTTCCGTCTCAACTTTCGTCTATTCCAGGCTCTTGGGTTTGTCGACGAAATAAAGAGAATTCATTAAGAGCCTGGGATAGAAAAAACATGATCATGAGTAGAGAAACATACATGAACATATTATTCCTTGCTCTTCTAGAGTTGAAATTGAACTAAGGGAACTCCGATTTATGGCTATTAAAAGCTACAGTTGAAATAGAGCGCTTTGAGATACTACTCATTTTGCACTCTCCTAGAGCTGAAATTCAAATGAGAATATTGAAAGTTCTATCCCAGACAATCCATTTACTTGAATTCAGTCGAATTCTACAAAGAGGGATTTTTTTGAGAAAAAAAAAACCTTATAGAAGACAGTTTTCCAACAAAAATGCATGTAGCTCTAGAAAAAATTGTCTTAGTTTACCAAAAGTAGTATTACAGATTTATTTATTTTTTTGATTTATCAACATTTCCCTTTATGTAAAGATAATTTTTCGACAATCAATGGAAAGCAATTAAAAATTTCTTGTTCCTCTTTATCTAGATTGCAATAATTAGTCTTCGAAGAAGCTAATTGATTTTTAATCTTATCTATTAAGGGTTTCAAAAGAAAAAAAAAACATTGTCCTCTCAGACTTTTAGTAGCTTTTAGATAAATTTTGCAAAAATGTTTCTTGTTATTTTTGTATTATTGTTTTTGACTGGTAGAATGAAGTGTTTGAATACATTATAATTATTAATTGTTCTTATTTTAGGAAGCGTTTTTGGAAATCATTGGACTTATAACGATGAAGGTAAGTCAACTTAAATTTTCGTCGGGCAAAAAATCTATATTTAAAATCTATTTTATCAATTTGTCACACGCTATAAATCTCTGGTGAATTATTGCCTGCGAGAGATGTTAAAAAATTAATCTGGCAAATGCGAATTTAATACAGAGTGTTCAAAAATTGAACCAGAATCTTATACTATTATCATTCAATCATCGCATTTTAACTGGATAATGATGGTGCAAAATACCTTGTTTACTTCCTGGATAAGATTTATTTTATCAACTTGGCTCCCTAGTTTAATTTTGAACTGGGCCACTAGTATAGATATAAATTTTACAGACAGATATTTTATATTGTAAAATTCACCTACACATAATGTGAAGTTGCATTTTCTCTGGCTCCAAGTTTTAATATGCTGACATTGAGACAGCAAAATTTTAATGGTTCCAAAAATAAAGTACTTAAGTGATATGAACCAGAAATATTGATCAAATCAAAATTTAATTTATTTTGACATGCAGATGATTTAACTCATTAGGAGCATTGATTGATTGTTTTTAACGCGTCAGCCCTAAACTGCATTTTCATAATAATTTATTGTTGAATTAGGAAAGCTTGAAATGTTTCCATTTTTCATTTCCGGCTGGAATTATTGACCTGTTCGCCAGTTTTAATATATTTTGCATTAGTTTTTCCAGTTTTTGATCCCTGGGATTCCCAGATTTTTTTCAACTTCTGCTGTATTTTCATAGTAAGATTTTGGACTGAATAACTATGATCATTGCTACAAGATTATCTCACTCATGTGGAATAAAAATATAATAAGTTAACCTTGTTTGTAAACTATAACATTTAATTTCGCACCACAAAATGCACTTAGAGTTCTATAAATAAAACCAAACCGAATCCGTGTAATGTAAGTCTAATTGCATTAAGCACACGTCCGTGCATTTGAAAATATCTCACTGATCGATAGGAATTTAATAACTAAATGTTTCAGGAGAATGGTCAAACTTATGTCAAACTGGAAAAAGCCAATCTCCCATAGCGCTGACCAGGTCAATAGCAATCCTGAAAGAATTCCATCCGTTTTCTATGCACGGCTACGGTCAAAGTACTACGGCTTTGTTACAAAATAATGGACATTCAGGTAAAAGAAAAATGTACTTTGCAATTCCAGCGTTTAATTTTTATTTGAATTCTAGCCGAAGTAAGACTGCAAAACATCGAAGCTCCAACAGTGCATGGTGGAGGTTTACCAGGAACTTACCAACTTGACCATTTACATTTTCATTGGCAATCTGAACATACAATGAATAATTATAGGTATGGTTAGGTTAGGTTTCTTGCGAGTGGTCCGATATCGGCCCTTCCACTGCGACCTGCTGTCTATTGTGGCTCACTATAAGTTTATATTTCCCCCATCAGTCCAGCCCTTCTTTTGAAGTGTGAGGAAGCATGCTTTATATGTTCGGGTCGAACAGCTGACTCCCCGAAAACAGCATGCCTGACTCTGGTTATTGCCGGATACGTGCATAGGACATGTTCTGCAGTTTCGACTTCTTCTATGCATAGGCGACACTCGGCACTTTGTGCTATTCTTATCCTATTCATGTGATAACGGAGTCTGGTGCAGGCTGACCGAAATTTCCAGCCTTGGTTTTTCACCTTATACCCCTGCTCCGACACCATGTTTAGTTTTGGAGCCATCTGTGTACAGGAAGAGATCTGCCCTCAGTAGCTCGGCCCTGTCTCTGGCCCATAGCTCTCTATTGGGAATTATTATTTGGAAGGGCAAACCAAAGTTGGTTTGCTTTGACATTATATCAGAAGACATGCTAAGGGTGCCGTGTCGATTTATTTCATCCACAAGTACCGTGTGTTGCATTACGCTTCTCTCCTCCAAAGTGCTTTTTGAAGTACGGTACAGCCGATAGGTTGATCTCATTGCTTCCCTATTCACGTATATGTGAAGTGGAGTCAGGTTTATGTCGACTTCCATAGCTGCTGTAAGCGTGGTGTGCAACGCTCTCGTTATCGCCTTGCCCCACCATACTATATAACCATGGTGTAGATCCAGTAAATCTGTTTTGGATTTGTTCCCCAGATCTTTCCACACATCCTGTGGCAGTTTCAAAGCGACAATTTTGCCTTTTGGCTTGCTTTTCCCAAATGAGTGTTCCAGTTTAGAGCCTTGTCCAGCATGACTCCCAAATACTTTGCTTCATTTGATAATGGTACTAATTCTCCCCGAATAGTTAGGGGTACCAAGTTATCAAGTTTTCTTCTCCTGGTGAAGGGTACTGTGACCATTTTGTGAGGTCATTTCCTCTCTCTCACACCAATCAAGCATGCAGTCTAATACCTGCAGCTGAGACCCTCGTCTCAGAACTACCCTTGGCTATTATAACTAGATCGTCCGCATATGCTTGAACTTCGACCCCCCGTGAAAAGTAAAATCAACAATCAGTTATGCAAGATCTTGAGAGACTTTCAAGCCAGAAATTTGCGCACAGTGAGAAGTCAGAACTCTAAAACTTCCAAGATTTCCAGAACTCAGGAACAAGAAATTTCCAAGGTTAAGATCCATATAACCTTCACACAGTAAAAAAAAATACGAAAGAATAACAGAGCATGATAGTACCTAGAGATCCCAATTTCCAAGAGTTTTCTGTTCAAAAATTTGCAAAGTAATGATTCAGAATTCAGGATCTAAAGTTTCTAGTTTAAGAAGCCCCAAATAATTTTCATGGTTCGCAGATTTCAAGATTCGTATATTCTTCTCAAAGAAAAACAAAACATTTGCTAAAGATTTAGAAGTCCTGAAGAACCTGGCGGGATCCTAAGAATCTTTCTTAGAACAAACAGCAGAAAACAGATATCATGAATTTACTCGTATGCCCTTCGGATTAAAAAATGCCCCCGCGACATTTCAAAGAGTAATAGATAACGTATTTATAGGACTACAAAACAAAATATGTCTAGATTACATGGACGATATCCGATATCATAATATTTTCCACTTCTCTTCAAGAACATATCCTTTGCAATTTTATCAGAATTCAGAATTTAAAGCTTTCTAGAAGTTTTTAATGAAAATACAGACACATTTATAGGTTTTGCAGAACAATAAAGATCCAAAAAAAAAAACAGCACACACATGCAATAGAACGTTTCAGAATCTTGAATTTCCAACAATCTCTTTTTAGAAGAACCAGAAAGTTTCCAAAGTAGTCTAATGACACGAGATTCAGGATTCTGATAATCTTCATAAAGAAAAATCAGAAAATTTACATATTACTGGCTCAGGGCTCAGGATCTAAAGTTTCCAGTTATAGAAGCACCAAGAAATTTTCAATATGTGCAGAATTCAGGATTCCAAAATCCTTAGAATTGCTGGCCTACAATTTTGCAAAAATTCACATACCGAATAAATTCAATTTACTCAATTGAAGTAAATTTTTGCCAGGAATATATCGTAAAATTTATATTAGCTCTAAGGTTTGCTTATTTAATATTTTTCTTTTGTCTCTAATTTTATGATTTGTTTAAAGCAGTAAAATGTTAAAATGCAGCTTTTGTTTCCGAAAATAATGCTGTTTTTACTGGCAAGCATTTTTGGCAAAGACAATTTGATTATTTTAACCACCCACATAATGTATGTAAGAACTTTTATTGCACATTAAGTCTAAAATAAATTTTTTTGTTTCATTGTAGATTCCCTTTAGAACTTCACTTGGTACACTTCGAACAAAAACACCGCAACCTTAGTGAAGCAGTAAAACATCCTCATGGTGTAGCAGTGCTTGGAGTTCTTTTTGATGTAAGTATCCTGCTTATGATGAAAAAAATACTTTTGAATCAAATTTTTCTTTAGCTGTCTCTTGATGACGATGAAGATTTCCAACCTCTCTTAGAAATCATCGACAATCTTAAAGAAACCGTCGGAGAACCCAGACATTTGAAAGATGTATTCAGTGCCAAAAGCTTCCTTCCTAGAGACAAAGGGGGATTTTATCGGTACCAAGGCTCGCTGACTACTCCAGGGTGTAACGAGGGTGTTATTTGGACCGTTTTTACCAATACTTTACCAATTTCACCTAAACAGGTAAGTTGTATTTATATAACACCATAGTTGGTATTAAATCACGAATTTCCAGGTTAAAATATTTGAAGCTATGCAAACAGAAGAAAAAACCGCTCTAACGAAAAACTACAGATCTTTGCAGGCGCTCAATGACAGAACTGTTTATTTAAGGGTTAGTCCGATGAGATCAAGTGCAACTTCGCTTGAATTGTCTGTGATGTTATTAGGTTTAAGTGTTTTATATTCAAAACTGTGTTAGAGATTTATTTTGAAGTACCCTAACTCCGTCATTTATGTTTTAATATTTTTGTTGACCAACACAGGAAGGTACTTAAGCTGAAATATTATGCATTTTTAAATTGTTAGCTAGTTTTTAAGGAAATTGTATATTAAAATGATTAAAGTTAATGAAGAAATTGTAATTTTGTATTAAAATCATGAAATTTCAAATTGTTTTATGCTCAGATTTTGTCTTCAAAGATCATTGAGACTTCCCAAACTCCATACAGAAAATTATTGTAAGATTTGATACCGGATTATTTGAAAAAAGAACGTCTGAAATTAACCTTGTCTAGGTATACTTTTTACTCAATATCTATGGGGTGGTGGAGGTTCTTACTAATTCAAACTCAATGTTGTTAGTTTTCAGTTTCTATTAAGTTGAGCCATAGATTGATGACGGACAATACATTTCAGGTACAGAAGTATCGTAACGGAAGTATTGATATTTTTTCGTAATAATATCAATATGAAAATACAGTGACTCTATTACCACAGTGGCGACAATTGCTGTCTCATTTATGATCCATATAGGAAATTGGAAACAACGTATTTGATGTATCTAATAATTATACCTAGTAATTAAATACGTTGTTTTCAATTTTTTATGATGGATGTCCATTTAAATCCTATGTATTTATATTTAAAACTAACAAGAGGTGCACAAAATGGCGGCGGGACCTCTATTGTAGCCATTGTATATAATATAGTCTGTCGATTTTAATTTGATACTCCAAAGGAATGTGAGCTGGTGGCTTCTTACATTAGAATACCAATGGTTACCTAACGTCACACCTGTTTTTGCCATATGAAACTCCCCCTCGCTCCTCATACGGAAAGTGTCAGATTAAAAACGAAGGATTTTAAAGGTTTATTTAGTCACTGTATATGAAAAAGCCTTATGGCGCCATCTATCGAATAAAAGCCAAAATGTTCTCTTGATAGATTTCTACTAACAGCATACAAAACTTAAGTTCATTCGAAAAATTTTCAATTAATACAGAAATCTGTATTTGTAATAGATGAGCCATGAAAAATATTTCCGGAAAGCTGATCTTCTTAGGGCCGGTATTTCAATGTCACCTTGAGGTACAGAATAACGTTGAGTCATCCTTAGTACAAGTTTCACCGTATATCATAGTTTCCTTGATTCAAGGTGGTCACATGAATGAACCTACTTCAAGTTCACCTTAGGGATGTCAATTTTTATTAAAACACCGGTTTTTCCATTAACCGGTTAATTTAGTAACATTTTTAACTGCCCGGATATAACTGATATAAAACACCGGTTATTCCGATTAACTGGTTGTTCGGTTATTTTTCCGAATTTTATCAGAATAATTGCATTATACTATAATGTAAAATTAATTAAACAACAACATATCTTTATTGTAAAAAAAAATCGGGAACTGTTACATGTTAAGAAAAATCATCAAAGAATACCTACACTTTTCTTCTCTTCTGTCATTTTAAACATGTACCCATTGACAAAAAAAACCCGCTGCTGAACGAATCAACCAAAACTGAAATGAAATACTACAGATAGGCACTACTATTGGTTAAAGACTGTGGAAATAGGTATTCGACTGTTGTCGCTTATTCAATATTTTACAATTTATTTAATAAGACAAGAGAAAAGTCTACATGTTTCACTTTCACCGGTTATTAGGATGAAACCCGGTTATCCGGATATCCGGTTATAAATGGAAGCAAAAAACAACTGGTTTTAACCGGTTAACCGAAAAGAAAACACCGGTTTTTCGGTTTTAACCACCGGTTATTGACATCCCTATTATATTAGATTTCCAAACTCAATTGGAACAAGGTCCCAACTGGTGGCTGACTGCCGGTCACCGAAAATTTCCATTAGAAATGCACTGCCACTAGTTTTGGTTTTAAGGTAACATTGAAATACCGGCCCTTAGTCTTCTGTGTTTTGCTGAGAAATCTTAAGTCTTTAACTTTTATCAAACTAGGATGAACTTATGATTCACCCGTCAATAAAGGGGTTATCTCTGTGTGAAGAGATACTTGAAAGAGTTACTTTACACACCTGAAATGCTACTTTATAAATCTCAAAACAGTACTTTCAGTAGGTACCTATGTATTGGCCTACTGGCCAACTTAATTTTGACTGTTGTTGATAGTAAAGTTATTTAAGTAACGCTTAGTGTCGTGACTCCTCAATAGATGTCGCCCTTTTAACAAATTTAAGCTATTTTTTATTAAAATGAACAGTCCGTTAGTCCTCATTAAAATATTTAAATCCTCAATAATTAGGATTCCATAATATAATGTTTATCTTTAGTATTAATTTAAAGTAATGCGACATGGACTTAATATTATCATACTTAACACTAATAAACTGATTTTAAATAATAATTTGAAGTGGACTTTCACCGTTTTACTAAATAAATTTAGTATATAACTACAGAATATGAAGTTTCCTGTAGGATTTTATTTATGTAAATCCTACTAGGTACTACTTAGAACAAAATATTAAAATGATTGTCTCAGAAACAGTCAAGATATTAAATTTAGATGTTCACAAAAATAATTGATGATACTTTAATGATAAATGCCTACAGAATACAGAATGTTGTTCAATTTGATTGAATGAGTATAAATTTGACTCTGATGAAGCCAGATCAGATAACATAGGAAACTCTCACTTGAGTTTTTGAGTTCTGATACTTCTACTCATGTAAAAACTATCCAAGTAGTGGGTTACATATTTTTGAGCTGTGCGAATATATATGAAGTTCTCAATACTCCAAACAATGCTTCATAATATATAAAAGTTATAAGAAGAAGTGATGGATCTGGACATTTTGGAAATGAAGTTTAACAGTAGATGACCACAGTTTCATGAGGTTTGTGGTCGAAGAAGATTGACCACACCAAAATAGATGGACATAACACCAGGATCAACACGGCTTTGATCCAGACTCCAGCTTCCAAATGCTTATTTGAATATTTCAATTGATGATCTTTGTTTCTTATTACATAACATGGTCGTTAATTTTGACTCCCTCTCACACTTATAGTGAAATTATATTGTATATGCTCAATATTTATGGCTTTTTTTACCAATGCCGATAAATTACGTTACAAGAAAAATAATCTTCAATTCCGCCCAAAGGCCTTTTCTCCGTTAATGCAGACATAACCAGTCAACATTCTTTTTTTGCAAACACTATGTAATTATTAACTCTTATAAGGATGTAGGGCCATAAATTCTCACTTTTGCTGAATTGTTATAGTAAACCAACAGTTTCGGCGTTGTTTTGTTTTTCGAGGCCAGCGCAAAATTCGATAAATAACCGAGAGTGGATACGAGTTTGAGCATATGCATCACATTGACAACTTAATTTTGGAGTTGAATTTCAAGATTTGATTGGTTTAATTTTTGAATTTTTTCCTTGTCAATATTTACAATCTCATTGCTGATGCTCAATCTATGATCTAAAAATTTCATAGGTTCAGGCGTAAGAATAAACTAATAATGGACAAGGAATTTAGAAACGCTGAAGTTCTAAGCTCGCTTTAGTCATCAAAATGATTAACAATTTCTTCAATTTGCAGTTGCTTGAATATACCTAGGATATATTATAATCAGCGCTAATCCGATTACACTGTCAGCTAGAAGCGAAGAATTTCTTAAATATATTAATGTTGAAAATGAAAAGTATATACCTATTCATCCATCAATTGCAAATATTTAGTTATACTTACATCCCCTTATTTCAGCTTTTAATTATTTCCTTAATTGCAGTTTACCGTTTTATCAAACTCTCTAACGATGTTTGAAATAAATATACGCAGAAATATTTTGTTTTAATTAAGTAACTGGTACTTCTGTTACTGGTTCGAATTTTAAGAGATACTTAAACTTTAATGGTGCCTTTCATCGGCCATCTTCAACGCTATTTCGGTTTTTCTTTTGGACGAATTTAAATTGGAAAATATACGCTGGGAATAATTAGCGTTTATATGAGAAGATTTTCACAGTCCTGTACTGGTTTTTTTTCATTAGAAACTTGGCAATTGATTTGAAAACATTTTAATGTAAATCACTTTAATGACGAGGAATCAGTGTGCCAAATCGTTGTTAAACTATCGTGCAAATCACTTCAATTGGATGTACTAAAAAGTTATTGTCCAGAAGATAATGGATTTAGGGATGCGGGTTTCCGATGTATGGCTTTTGTTTGTTCATTGATTTATAGATAGTTTTTCTTGGAACTTTAAGTCAACAAACAAACAAAATCGTAAATTTTTTCCAGCTTTCATTAATCTACTTTAAATATTCAATTAAAATCAAGTTTCCGAATTAACGACTTTTCAAAATTAAATAGTTGATTTCTTTAACTTTTATTAAGAAACATAGAAAACAGAAATTTAAAATTGATTACTCAATTAAAAAATCGGTGCGAACAACAATAATTAACGATAATTATTGCGCCTAACATTAAAAGATGTAAAAAAGACATGGAAAACCTCATGAAGACATCTTGTTGGTTCTGAATGGATTGAAATTGGTTTCTGATTGGCTCTGATTGAGTTTTCGAGTTTGTATCTAGAGCAACCTGGATTAGCTCTAAAAAAAATGGCAAATTTGACAAGAACAAATTAGCATCTTCAAAAGTATATAGATATGGAGAAGTTTGTGAATTTTGCTTTCATTGACATTTCTGATCATTTTTGAAAATGTGCCAAGAGCTGTTTGGAAATAGTTCTGATCGATTCTAATTGATGAGTGAACATCTTCGAAAACTTCTTTAAAATTTCTATGATTGACTTTGACTGAGGCTTCTGGCCTTGCAATAAGAATTCAAAATGGTCAAAACCAGTCAACGGGTTCAAAAATTTTTCAGAAATAAATCGTAATTTTTCCTGATTGACGCTTTGGATGATTTCTGATTAATCTAATTGGTGTAAAATAAGTTTGTTCCAACTAGAATTTAAACTATTTCAGAGTCATTCGATAAAAATAATTCTGAAACAGCTTAAAAATTCAAGTTTAAAGTTTCTTTCTCAATTTGCATATTCTATGAATAGTTTTGACTAAAGCTGTTGGTCATTTTGAGCATTCTGATAGTTTTGAATGTTTGGAGTTGTTTCATAGGAATTCAAACTCATTTAAAACCAATCAGCATCTTTCAGAATG